ATAAGAAGTAATTATAATGAATATGGTAAAAACACCCTTACGATTAGTTTTTAAAACCATCTGCCATTTGGACTAGGAAATAAATCTCTCATGGCTAACTAGTACCTCTGAATCTCATTTAAAAGTATGGATTTGATACAACATGATTATACCGAGTAAGTTCAGATATCTCATCAGTAAAATACACAAACATTGCCAAGTTACACCTTGTAGATGGAAGTAAGTTCAGATATTTCACGTCTAGCTTTTTTGGGCGATATTTAACTTTTGTTTCGCGTTGAAACTGACGATCGTTATTAAATCTAGGAATCGTATTGTTATCTTGTCTAAATGAATTACTAATAAATAAGTAGAAAAATGTACAGGTGGTAAAATAAATTAGACTTTTAAAGATGAATTACCCTTTAAAAACTATAGCAGTTTCGAACAAACGTTTTTTTTTTCCAACCAGACTTGTTTCTGTAAAATTGTCATTAACCGACAGATATGTTTCTGTAAAATTCTAATTAACCGACAGATATGTTTCTGTAATTGTCATTAACCGATAGGCTAGTTTCTGGCTTGAAAAAGAGCGTTTGCTCGAAACGTTGCCAAGTAAATAAATTACTACTATAATTTTTAAAGGTGATTTTTCTCTAAAAGTCTAATTTAAATGAATTACTAGCCTAATAGCCATTAATATAATGTTTTACTAGCTGGACGGAAGTTAAATAAATCCATGATTAATGAAAGGTTATCTTAGAACGTAAAAAGTTGCTTCCCTTATATGTAATTGTAAAAAATGCTCATAAAAACTGGGAAACACAAAATATGAAACCGGAAATTGGCATTTATCTATTTCCGCATGGATCCAACAAACCTTCATGCCATATTTGGGAAAGATCCATCAACGGGTGGTGAAAAAACGCCCATAAAAACAGCAACACTGAAAATGTATATCTATCACCCCATGGACCCAACGAACATTCATGCCAAATTTGGCGAAGATCCATCTACAGGGGGCGAAGTAGTGGTAAAAAACGGCCAAAAAAAACTGCAAAAGGCAAGACTGGAAATTTAACTGCACCCCCGCATGGACCTAATGAACCTCCATACCAATTTTAGTGAAGATCCCTGCGAAGTAGTTACATGAACAGACGACAGACAGTACTATTATATTTATATAGATAAAAAGCCATCGTCTTCTCTTCGTGTGTTATATTGAATAAAATCTCTGTGCTCTGGTCCGAGTGTGAAGATATTTTGGACAAAAGGGAACGAATAACAAGTTTTCATCTTTGTGGATAAAATTGTAAAGTTCGCAAACGTAAATGATATGTGAATTATAAATGTCAAAACTGGAATATTGAGGGTACTTTGTAGGAATTATGTTTGTTAATAAAGGCTATGTGTGTCCTGATTGATTTGTGTGAATGTTTGTTACGAAATAAGAAGTAATACTTGTGGGCCTTAAAGTATATGTAATCCTCTATCGGAAAGTGCCCCCAGTGGCACAGCAATATGTCTATGGACCTACAACGCTATAAACCGGATTTCGATACCCGGGTTGGGCAGAGCACAGATAGCCCATTGTGTAGCTTTGTACTTAACTTCAAACAAACCAAACCTATCGGAAAGTATGATAACTTTCTTAATTAAAACAAACCTCTATCGGAGACTATGATAATTTTTATAATTAAAACAAACCTCTATGGGATATTACAGTAACTTTTATAATTAAAACAAACCTCTATCGGAGAGTATGATAACTTTTATAATTAAAACAAACCTCTATCGGAGAGTATGATAACTTTTATAATTAAAACAAACCTCTATCGGAGAGTATGATAACTTTTATAATTAAACAAACCTCTATCGGAGAGTATGATAACTTTTATAATTAAAACAAACCTCTATCGGATATTAAGGTAAATAATGGTAGTCCTCGAAAAACTCAAGTGTTTCTGAATAGATTTTAAATTATATAAGATTAAGTAATTTTCAAGTTAATTTTTTCTTTACAGGTATTAAAAATGCATAAAATGTAGAATATTTAATATTTGTATTTATAGCATAGCTACTAAGTCTAACTGCCGCCGTTTCGTGACCTATTGACCAGAGGGAAAGCCCCAGTCAGTAATAACATCCACATTAAGGGATTGACTATCATTTTTATAACGCAGCCACAGCTTAAAATACGAAGAATAGTTGGTCGTATCGCGTGAAATATAACCTGGCTCGCCAGTTCCGAAATACATAGCTCTATCACAGGACCAATCCACTCCCTTATTTGATACTTAACAATGGTCCAGGGTCCTACCACAGGACTAATCCACTCCCTTATTTGATACTTAACAATGATCCAGGGCCCTACCACTCCCTTATTTGATACTTAACAATGGTCCAGGGCCCTACCACTCCCTATTTGATACTTAACCAATGGTCCAGGGCTCAACCACTCCCTTACTTTAGATACCTTAACAACTGGTCCAGGCCCTACCACAGGACCAATCCACTCCCTTATTTCGATAC